TGATAATAATAAGAGTATGATAAATGATACTGATTAGCAATAATCTATAAACATAATGATAATATAATGAATATATCTAATAAAATGATATGATAATAATAATATAACAATACAATAACAATAATAATAATATATAATAATAATAATAACTAATAATAAATAAAATAATAATAATAATAAAATAATAATAATAATAATAATAATATAATTAATGATAATAAATAATAATAATAATAATAATAATAATAATAAATAATAATAATAATATAATAATAATAATAATAATAATAATAATAATAATAATATGATAATAAAATAATAATAATATAATAATAAATAATAATAATAATAATAATAATAATAATAATAATAATAATATAATAATAATAATAATATAATAATAATAACAATAATGATAGTTATAAATAATAAAAATATATAGATGAAATAATAAAATCAAGACAATTTTGCTGATGATAATGATTATGAATAATAATAATGATAATGATAATGATAATAATAATAATGATATGAATAATAATATTGTAATAAAAATGATTAATGCTAATGATATAATGATAATGACAAATAATAATGATTAATAATGATTATAAAAATAATGAAATAATAGTTATTATTACATTATTTAATCAATATCATGACATTATCATTTCTACTGTTATGATTATTATTATTAATCATTATCATCATGATCATTATCATTATGGTTACTATCACCATTATCATTTATTATTATTATTATTATTATTATTAATTATTATTTTATTTTTATAAAATAATAATAATAATAATAATTATTATTATTATTATTATATTATTATTATTATATTATTATTATTATTATTATTATTATTATCATTATTATTATTATTATTATTATTATTATTATTATTATTATTATTATTATTATTATTATTATTATTATTATTATTATTATTATTATTATTATTATTATTATTATATTATTATTATTATTATTATTATTATATTATTATATTATTATCATCATTATCATTATCATTGTTATCATTTGTATAATTACCACTATTATCATTATTATCACTATCATTATTATTGCTATTATTTTCATTATCATCATTATAACTATCATTATCTTTATCATTGTTATTTATTATCATAATTATTATCTTTTTTTGTATCATTTTATTATCATTATACTTATAATCATCAGCATTAGTATTAGTATTATTACCATTATCATTATCATTATCTTTATTATTATTACTGTTGTTATTATTATTATTATTATTATCATTATTATTATCATTTTATCACCATTATCATTGTTATAATTGTTATTATCATTATCATCAATATTATTGTTATTCTCATCATTGTAATTATTATCATTGTTATTATCTTTATAATCATTATTTTTGTTATTACTATTATTAATACTATTATAATTATTATTGTTATTATTATTGTTATTACTTTTATTCCTGTTATTATTAGTAGTATCTTTATTATTTCATTACTATTATCATTATTATTTTTATCATCATCACCATCACTATCATTATCATCATGTCATTATTACTAGTATTAATGTTATGATTATCATTGTTATTATCAGTATTATCTTCATCATTAATATCATTATTTTTTATTATCATCAGTATCATTACTATTATAAATATCATCATTATTGTTATTATTATCATTATTATTATTATCATTATTATCATTATTATTATTGTTGACATTTTTATTATTATTACATTTTCATTAAATTTTTTCTATTAATATTATAATTATCATTTTTTCTATCATATAATCATCATTATTATCATTATCCTTATCATTTCATCATTATATTATTATCTGTTATTTTATTATCATATTATCAATTATTCTGTTAACATTATTACTATCATTATTATTGTTAGTATTATCATTATCATTAATATTATCATTATCATTATTATTATAATTATTATTACTATTATCATAATAATCATTATCATTATTGTTATTGTTATTATTATTATTATTATTATGATTATTTTTATTCTTATCATTATCAAATCATTATTAGCATCATTATTATCATTATTATTCTTAGCACTATCATTATTATTATAGTCATTATTAATATAATAATCATGATCATTATCGTTATCTTATCTCATCATGACTGTTATCATTATCATCAATATCAACATTAATTTTAGTCATTCTCCATCTCCTTATTACAATTATCATTATCATTTTCATCACAATGCTATCATTATCTTTAACATTATCAATATTACAATCATTATCAACATTATCATTACTTTTATTATTATCATCACTAGGATTATCATTGTTATTATCAGTATTATGATCTTTTATTATCATTGTTATCATCATTATTAGTATTAGTATAGTTTTTGTTATTATTATTATTATGCTTAGTTTTATCATTCTTATTATCATTATTATTATTATTATTATTATTTTTATTATCATTATCATTATCAATATTATTACTATCATTATTATCATTCTTATTATAATTGTTATTATTATTATTGTTTTTATCATCATTGACATTATAATATTTATCTTGGTTACTACTATCATTATCATTATCATCATTACTATATGTTATCATTGTTATTTTTTATCATTATCTTTATACTTATTGTTATTATTATTATCATCATTATCATTATTATATATATTGTTATTACTTTACTGTTATTATTATTAAGATGATGATGCTAATTGTTATTATTATAATTATCATTATAATCAACTATTATTATCAATTACATAATTACAATAATCAACTATTATTATCAATTACATAATTACAAGCAAAAAAATAACAATGAATCACAACAATTATTATAAAACCTATCTATTATCATAATAGAAAGGTTTTACGAGGCATCATTTTTTTCAAAAACCTTCTATATTGCATTTAGATTCATAGTCACATGTTCTTGTTGAAACTATAATGATAAGCAATGTATTACCAACGAATAATAATTTCAAGACAGATATGCTACCATAACCACATGCCACCAGGGAAATGATAATGATAATAATAACAATAATGATAATTATAATAATGATTGAAAAAATTATGATAATAATAATAATAGAAAAAATTATGATAATAATAATAGAAAAAAATTTAAATAATGATAATGATAATGATAATAAATGGCATGTCCACTGTGTGTTTAATTTAGTAATTGTTTTTGCATATAGATTGCTCCATGAGTGCTAGGTCACCAGTGAGCCAGTTATGAGAAGTACCTGTCTCCAGAGGTGGGTGTTCCATGGTGGCACAGGGGAGCACCTGCCCCTCCCTGCAATCTGAATGGCCACCCTGTGTGCCCCCCCACCCAAGAGTCATTGACCCTTTATATATTAATATATATTTATATATAATATCTATATATAAATATATAATTTTAACATATAATAATATATAATACTCACACAGCAAGATGAAAAAATAAACAATATGTAACTGTACAAGTTAAATATTGAAGTGGGCAGTCTTAATTTTTGTTTCTTTTGGGCGGCCCTCCCAGATTTATTGTTGTTACCCCCTGTGCCCCCCACCAGATTCTCTGGACCCGCCCCTGCCTGTCTCACTTGTTTACCCTTTTCCTATATTTTTCATAATATTTTCTAGAATCCAATACTACTGTTAGTAATGTCAATAACAATATTGTAATTCTAATATTTATAACAAAAATAACAATATCAATATTGATAGCATTAGTAAAAAAAAAGTTTTTTCCGCTATTTCAGGGAAAAGTAAAGTCACAAGATCTACTAATTGAATCCTTTGTCGTTACGCACTGGTAGAGCTATCTATGTGCAGAAACATTTAACGAAACAATACTAAAGTGAACGCAATATTTTCCCGGCAGCATGTATTACTGTTTGTGTATCATAATAGTCTAGCTTTACATTTTCTTCAGTAAATAGTTGCAATGTATGTTATACAATGTACATACTCAGAAATTGAATGGATAACAGAAGAACAAAAGAATCTATATTATTTCTTTTTTTGTCTATTTTATTCATAATAAATAAAATATTGTATCTTGACAATTAGTCAGTAAATCAACCTTGTAAAAAAACAATGTATAATGCATAAGTTAAGGAGAAAAAAACATGAAAGACCCTTTTCTATAAATCATTATTCACAATATATTTATACACTATACATATCCCATGAAAAAGTCCATAATACTCCTATACTGCTTTTTTTTCTTTATTCTCACCAAGCTTATGGTAATACTCTTCGTCTTGAGCAAAATCAATGTTGCCCGGAGGAACGACAAAATAATCTTCAAGGGTCTTTACAGCACACCCTAATAGCTCTTCACTCATGTCACCTGTGGTTACCTCATCATCGGCAAGAGGAAGGGACCTGGTGATATAAACAAAATTAGTCAGGAGTATTGAAAAACTTACTTCATATACAGTACAGAATGGAACACACTCTTTCAACAAGTAGCACTTACTGATAAAATATGATTTTTAGTGTCAAATTTCCACTGCGATATTACTACATGCATTCAGTATCATAAACATTCTCTTCATTTCTGCAAAACCTGACAAACAAGAGCCTTTAAACACTATAAAACACTTAAACTTCCTTAAATTTAATTGACTGATGGATAAATAAAAGTAGTAATAAAATTCTGACTTCTCATTAGAATATTTAGTGACATATATCTAAAGCTTATGAATCCATGTGAAATATCCATACAGTATGACAATAAAGTTCTTTTTCATATATCATATGATTTTATAAGCAATATACACTATAGTAATCAACAAACCTCATGCTTCCTTCTTTATTAGTTTTTCTTTTTCTTTTACAATTGGGCCTACATTCATGAACTTTTTGAAAAATCTACTGAGAGATATTCTTTGCTTTAACCCCTAGCCAACGGGTGGCATGAACGAACATGCCATGGCTGTTGCAGACCAAAAAAAAG